AATAAATTTGCAAAATGACAATGAGAAGAGTGATTAAAAAAAAAACCCGAATTGACTGAACCAATTTGCTTCCCTCTAATTTTGTTTTCTTTTCAACAATCCAACAACATTTATCCAAATAGGCATCACATGCTTTTTCACAGGTTCAAAAAGTGCAGTTGCTTTCAATGAAACAAGCATTTCTAGCCTAAGCGAGACTTAAACAATTTTTTCAATACAAACGCCTTTGTCACTTTACCCTTGTGTAGATAAACGAACCAGTGACATGTACGGCTTTTAGGCGCCAACAATCATTTACATTTGTTTTCTCAACAAAACACGATTTACATGTTTGATTGGTTTTAATGCAGTAATCAATGTGCTATCGCTCCGCTGTCATCGGTGCTATCCAAGAGGCAAACTCTCTCCCCGGCGTCATCAAAATTTATTTAATAACAACAAATTTAAAGCCATTTGCTCTCTCGTAGATTACAAAGCATTGTTTAAAAACAATGGGGTTCCTCGTGAAAGGAAACCGAGCTGTTCAAAATTTGTTTATATATTATTCATTTGTGTTCCTGAGATAATGATGTTGTTAGAAGACAAATTTCCATCGCTTAAAGGTTTTTAAAGTCTTTGTTGGACATGTTATGAAAACGTCGGCTTAATATCGTGTTAGTTTTTCTAACGGTGGTTATGGCGTCGATGCAAACCATGCATAATTCCTTGTTTTGCAGATGGAAGCTCAATTGTCTTTGGAAATGTGGGATGGAACATTTTGTGACCGATTTCTTTCGCATTGGCGCGATGTTTTCAAAGGTAAGGCAGCTAACAATTTTAATTTCCTATAATTTTGCAAGCATTGCTTCTTGTCATCAAAACATCATTCACTGGTTAGATAATCTTGTCGAGGCATCACTCACGCTCAGTGAATATTCAAGCGTGTGTACCCCTCGAAATTGAGTGTTACGAGAGGGTCTTCTTCATGGACATTTAGTTCAATATGGTGTATAATGTAAACACTTGCCTCGGGGCAAAACGCTATCAACAATAATTACCATTTGCTACGAAATTAATGAGCAGAGGTGGAAAGTTTATTTTTTTATGGTTTCGGAATGTGTGATTCGTGAACGGGTTGCCAAAAACGTGAAAAAAAACAACAACTTTGTTTGGAAGACATGCTGGTTTATTATTTACCCGCTGATACGAAACTTCTCCGTTTGTCGTTCTGCTGAAATTTTTCGAGAGCTCTCGCAACTGAGGGCGAAAGTATAAAGACAAAGATGAAGTTTACCGGATCAAATACTGATCTGATGTTTTACAATACAGCAATTTGTTAGCGCTGGAGTAAGCCATCTCACAAAGTCGCTAAATCTTATTTCATTATACGCGAGATTAATTTTAAGGAAGCTGTGCCTATTGTGAATAGATGATAACGTGAAAACCACAAAAGAACGCCCCCTCGAAGATAACAGCCATTGCAGGGACTTAACGGCATGACGTTATGACAAATTGTAATGAATCAGTAACGGCTGGAAACCATTGTATGCCGTAAAATTTTTGTCCTTGCGATGTGGATTCTCAACGCAAATGCAAACAATACTTACATCCTACACGGCTGAAGAAGTAGGCAACAGGTATCGTGACAAAACTGAATTGTGAATCGCTTTACCGAAAAATATTGTGTTTAAAGCAGGGTTTCAAGCAGTGTTTTGGTAAATGGTACAACGAGCGGCTCTGCCTGATGAAGGGGCCGTAGGCGAAATATGAATTTATATGAAAGATGAAAGCTGGCATGCAGGCTAATAGGCGGCGGTAAGAAGTCCTTTATCCAGCGGTAGACCGCCGGTATCCGGTTCTTTTCGAAATCCTTGGCTTTAAGTATATCCTGAGGCTTTTCTTAATGAAAAGAAGTTAGTTACAGCTTCAACAAGCAAAATATCGTTCTATTTTAGTGAGGAGTGCGTTAGATGAAAGTCATTAATATGCTAGGGTTTTTTTTCATTACTGTTACAAATTAAAAATGAGTGTAGCAATTAAGAAGAATTGTGGCTGTGTGGCTTACAGAAAGCAGGATTAAATTTATATGCATCCTCAAGAACAACACTGCGATTCACTAATTTATATCAATACTAACAGATGTATGTCAAATGAAAGGTACAGATAGCATTCAAATTTGACAAGCTTTGCCTCTGTATCGAGGATTGGCGACTGTCTTCGGAAATTCATCCACACGCCTTCTCAGCCAATCTCGTACAAATTCCAAACTGCGCTGTTTTCCCGTCAGGAGGACGGTACCTTAAATTATGGGAGAACTCTCATAAGCTTGTTCGAATGTCATTATTATTTGCTTGGCTGGCCATTATAATTACTTAGGGAGTTTTAAAGTGATTTACTAAATGTAATAAACATCACAAGGACTTCTCTCCAGGACCAGCCGACCTATTACTCCGATGCGAACTAGAGAGAACTGCGATCACGTCGCACACAGTTTTCCCGCTCCATAGTACATGGGGTTACCCTTGCTTGTTTTAAATCTCGCTGGTTTCTTGTTTTTGTTTACTTTTTAACTGGCTGGACTTTATGATGACTTTGGTTTGGTTTTGCGATGGCCATGACAATTTGCTAACATTATAATAACTGTTTTTGACTCATAGGGTGCTGAGCAAGACATCTAAAGCATCGTAATTTTTAATACGCCGAAATGATCAGTAACATTAGCGCTATTCAAACAAAGAAAGCATCCTACAGAGAGAGAAAGTCGTCAACATTGTGTCGACCATCTTCTGGATATCCTTGTCTCGATAGGCTCAAAAGACGCCGCCCAGATGCCAAAGTGATTATCAATGTTGGAGGACGTAGATTTGTCACGTGGAAAAACACGCTGAAACGTTTTCCTCAAACGCTTCTGGGCTCAGAAGAGCTTGCGGCGCGTTTTTATGACCAGGATAGAAAGGAATATTTCATAGATCGCGATCCGCATTTATTTCGATATATACTAAATTATTATCGTTGTGGCAAACTCCATCGTTCGTTTGAAGATTGCAATGCATCATTTGAAGATGAACTCTCCTTTTACGGGATTATGCCACAAGAGGTGCACGACTGTTGTTTTGACGATGATAATGAAAACGATAACGCTGATGATAGCAAAAGCACAGGGTCCGGGTCGGTATGCGACAAAACCGAACATGTAGTAACTCGAAGTTTGATAGGACGAGCTCGAAATTGGATTTGGGTTTTACTGGAAGGCGAGGCGGATTCCGGCTTCAGAGCGTTTTTTGGGATGGTCATCATATACATTGTGGGACTTTTTATCATTCTTAGTATTTTTACAACTGTCTATGAAACTGTACCTTGCGAAAACGTGGAGAAGGTTTGCAAGGAAAGAACTCGAATCTTGGATCTATTGGACAATATTTGCGTGGGTGTTTTCAGCGTGGAATTCTGTCTCAGACTTCTTGTCTGTCCGAATATTGTGGAATTCGCTAAGAACCCGATGAACATCATCGATTTTTTATCGATCTTGCCTTTTTATTTAACGCTGCTATTAGAGTCTGTGGTAGGATCAAACTTAGAAGCTTTTGTAGTTCTTCGAGTTTTGAGAATATTTAGAGTTTTCAAGTTAACAAGACATTCCAAACGTCTGCAAAGATTTGGCGCAGCTATGGCCAGCTGTGTTGGAGATCTCACCTCGTTGATGTTTGTTTTAATTATTGCTGTCGTGGTTTTTGCAAGTATGATATACTTTATTGAGCGCAACGCTGTGGAAGGAAAGTTCATTAGTATTCCTGACAGTATGTGGTATACCATCGTTACCATGATCACACTGGGGTGAGTTGTTCATACAGCAGACCAGCTAATACCCCATTCATACCAGCAGAATATGTTTAGTTAAACCGGGTTGAACTGAATGAAAATCAGAGACAAAAAATGCGTTAAATTTGAAGTCGGCAAACATCGCTTTGATCAGCTTTTATGATAAAAAAATTCAAAACCGTTTTTAACAAAACAACCTTAAAACATGTTTGAACTTCAGTGTGTATAAGGTATAACTTATGCTCAGCTTTAGCGTATAAGTAGAATAAAAATGTATTTTGGCTATGTTGCATAAATTTGATTGCTAGTTATGACTAAATTAAGATAAGTAATTTTTGCCATAGATGTATCAGACTGAGTGTGGAAAGTAATGCAGGATTATATATGCTAAGCTAATTTATGCTCGCATTTTGATTCGTTCTCATCTATAATCTATTGGAGGACAGGCGCATATTGGAGGCATGACGTCACCCATGATTAAAAAATTTTATTTCTTTATTACATAAAACAAATAGATTCTTTGTGATCGATTACTGAACAGGCGAACGCGTACGCCAACATGGAATTTGATCGTTAAGTTATACAATTGGCTAGATTATTAACGCATTTTGATCGGTGAGCACTTATGATCTATTGGAGGGCAGACACACAGATAACATCGTCATTAAAAACAAAACAAATATATTCCATTTTGCTGTGTGGTTAGAGTATCAGTGACCGGCACAATCAGCTGCGCCTCGTGTGTTATTTTATAGTACTTGCCACATAAGGACATCATCTGTGATTTATTGCTAAAAAGGCGCATGGCAACATGGAATCTATTTGTCAAAAATGCATCATTTCAGTGCGCGCTGACTCCAAGATTTTTAATTTTTCTCTTTATTTATTTATTTATTTATTTATTTATTTATTTTCGTTTTTCAGGTATGGAGACATGGTCCCGTCCACATTTTTAGGTCAGACTGTAGGAGCCATATGTTGCGTGGCTGGCGTCATACTGGTCGCTTTGCCGATACCAATAATTCAAGAGAAAGACATCTTCAAGAAACAGATGCTTAGCGTTTATAATGTGGACGATTTGCAAAAGAAAATTAAGCAAATGAGGAAAAGTGCGGACAGACCAGAGCGAGGAGATCCCTCGTGAATTTACTAACCTCGCAAACTCTAATATCGATATACGCATTCTCATTTTCTACTTCCATACTTTGCTTGTGAATGGTTGGGAGAAGGTACTTTTTGGTCAGGGACTAAGAGAGACTTAAACCAAGAGACCGAGTCCTCTACGGGATAAAATTTCCTAGAGTGACAAGAGGAATTCTGGAGCAGTTAAATTCGTTTTGCTTTACTGTGTTCTATGATTATTTTTAGAGAAGCTCGCGTCTCTCTCCCAATCAATGAGATGCAAAACTAATGCCATAAACGTTTTGATGGTACCTGCGTTTTCCTGCGCTTCTGGCAGTTTAATATTTGTTTTTGGCGCTTTTACTTCTCATCAGCTGCTTGCAGTAATTTCCTTTTGTCTGATTGGCTGTTGTAGGCGGTAACCTTCATTTTGTCTTCATAATAACACTGAAGTGAAACCCGGCTTGTAGGTTTTACTCCGGAAATTATCCCTATCATTTAACCTTAGAAAAATAAAACAATGTTATATTGCCCTTGTTAAACTAAAAAAATTTCATTCCTAATTCCTCTTCAAACTTTGACCCTTGAGAGTGACGAGGTTATAACATCTCTACACAGTATCACCCCTGAAACTCACAGTAATGTCACCAGAATAAAGGAAATGATTGTAAATTCAATAGATGAAGGATATTAAGGCGCTCAACGTTTTTGAAATTATTGTCATTTGAATTAATGAATACTTTTGCTACGGATTCAGAGCATTTGCGACGTGCAAAAGTTATTTAACTCTATTGGTATGTAAACGTCAAAGGGGTAAGAATAAGCTGAAAGGAAACAAGGATGGATTGGAACGGATGTGTGATAGACTGGGAATTAGTTCTGCAAACCCCCCCATAAGCCCATTCGGTCAAATAATAAAAAAACACATTGTCAGGTTTAAGCTGTGGTCTGCGTTTGTCAAGATCCTTTTTCTTTTTGGCTTTGTTTTGAAAGACTTCAAGGCAAATCAAGAACGAGAGGTAAAATTGTACATGAAAAACTACAAGTGATGTTTCAAAAATTACTCGAGCCCTTTACAGAGCACTGCACATTGGCACATACACGAGCTTAATATCTAGATATACTGAGACGGGTGAGGAGGATGTTTGTCATTTTAATTTTATGTAACAGTTTTATACCTCGTTGGTGGGTATAATACAAAATGATGGTCAAAGGATCAGTTGAAATTATATGAGAAAGTCGGCAGCCTGATCATACAGTGACATTCAATGAGTTGATTTTATTTTGGTTCATTCTCTCTAAGTTAAGCATCACATAAAGGACTCGGTTTAGGATGTTGAAATTCAGTTTTAGCGACTAGTGAGTAAAAAAGTTTACGATAGCAACAACAACTCATTATATTTGTGCCCTTTAGATTTTACAAATGATGGAGAAAAATTGAGATAGAATGGTAAAACACCAAAACAGTACTGTTGAAAATGAATAGTTTCTTCTCCTCAAAATTACCTTGGTAATGATGACGATCAAAGTGGAGATCGATGGTAAAATGTTTTTGGAAATCAAGAAACATGCGACAAAAATAAAACTTACGTTCGTCACGGCCACTAGAGTGTAGAAAGCGATTGTGAGTATTTTTTAAGAATAAATTAGAAAATGGAAATTTAAATATATTCATGAAAACTGGTAAAAATTTTAAAGGTTAACCAGTTATTTTTATCAGCAACGAAGCGACGTTAATTGGTGTAAAGACGCGATGTGTTAAATAGCCAACACTCTTTCTTAGTGGGAACAAATTATAACTGCAATTCTTTCTATTGTCATATTTTATTACTACCGCAGCTTTTTTGAAATAATTCGCTTAAATGACAGAATAAAAATGATTGATTTGACGACTGAATTTCTAAGACATCAATCGCTTGTCACTTGAAAGTTCCAGAAACACATTAAATGGAGAAAAATGACAATTTAATAAAACCGAAAAAAAGCAGGCGAGGATATTACAGCTTGAGCCTTTTCCCGTTATTCAATACCGATGCCTTCTCCTGAAATTTCCTTTAAAGAAAGTTGGAATTTCTTTGAGGAAAGGTAAGAAAAAGCTTTTACCAGCTTTCAGAAAGGTGTGAAGAACAACATATTCCATTAAAGCGTGTATGTAATCGTTTATATTTGTTCAGCTCATCATTTCGATGCTTTCTTGTCAATAGGTTATCTACAGTGGTCTCTGTTTGAGTTCAAGTTGGAGAATCGTTTTATTTTTTGACAATCAAACAAATATATTTGGATTCCATTTCTGAAGCTTCAAAGGAACATAGGCACATGGTAAGAACTTGCTTTCTTTGACTTCAGAAATTCTCTCTCATACCTGTTATGCAATATTGATGTTTTACAACTTCGCATAAACAAACGCCCCAACTAATTTCAACTCGCACATAAATTGCCACATGTTTATCTTGTTATTGCTGCAGAGTTTGCTCCTCTTGAATTGCGTGAGTTTTCAGTCTCTCTGTACTGAACCAAAACGTGTTTATCACCGAAGTGCCACGAAAGAGATAATTATTTACTGCATTTGACAAAACGATCGGATGGCGTAAATTCGTATATAACTCGTCTATCGGTTGCTTTTTTTCTTTGCGAAGGAAAAAAACGATAAGATGAAACTCTCATCATCGCAGATCAAATACAGAATTAACGAGAGAAATATCATTCATTCTTTACCATTCCAACAGGAAAATTTTGGTATATACAACACTATTTTTCCACGAAAATTAGAAAATGTGTTTTAGCGCCGTCAAACAAACGAGGAAGTCATAACTCTCCATCAATTCTGAATTATGCTGAATATTTAGTCCATCGCTTTTTTCAAACACACTGCATATATATATATATATATATATATATATATATTAAACCCCTGAAGAGTGAAGCGATTCACGAAACAGGCTTGTCGGGAAATGTAGTTACGTCCTTTTTCCTCTCATAATATTTATATATATATATATATATATATAGTACTTTTTTAATCAGGACCGAGTCAACGCCCAGTGGTCAGTGGTTCAATTTCATGGAAACGTGCAAAATATGGTTGAATCATAAAATATGATTTAGCACATTTAATTTGCGGCCCTCTAAGCATTTGATGAGCGGTTTGAGCCGGAACCAGCAGAAACCATATGTCAAATTTCATTGAAACGCCATAACAAGCTAATGCGGGTACGGGAAAAGGTGTTTGTAGCTGTGACATGTATCAGCAGACCTCTTTCCTCAAGCCTGTTAAAAAATCGCAAAAGCAACTCCATACAACAAAGTCAACCATTTTTTGGAGAAAACTGCTGACTAAATCACGTTACAGGTCCGAGGAATACAGCGGTCGAACGTCTGCGCATATGTGGATGTTGTAATGGATAGGTAGCGTGCTCTCAGGCTTTCAGACCCAAGTTGTCTTACAAAAATTGTAAACAAACACGCAAGCCATTGAGTCACGGTGTTTTAGAAGCGTATAAATTTTTTGATAATACTCAAGACAAGACGATTTCTATTGAAGTTTCAATTTTTCTTTACATATTTTGCGTGACAGCGGTTCTAGCTCATGTTTTTCTGTTAGATTTTGGGCGCGAATAGATGCGCAGCTGGCCAAATTTGATCCCCGTGCGCATGCTTAACGTTTGACCGCTGTGTAGATCAACGGCGAATTCCAGTTTATGATCGAATCTGATTTGGATAAATCTAAATGACCCAATTCGCTAGAGAACTTTAAAGGAACTAATCATGAAGTGGCAAATGTTCAGGTTTTATCTGATAGAATAAGGATCAGCAAATTCCGGTGATCCATATTTTCCGAAAAATTAAACGATCTATATATTATATCCATATATTATATCGTATATTTTATCAGTCGCACATGATAATAAACCGCGATATTTAAAAGTAACATTTTGCTGTGTTTGTCATTCGTCGCTGGAGGACTTCGCCGTCTTTCTTTGCGCTATACTTCGTCTGTATCTTAGACGGTAGCCGAATTACTAAATTGTTTCGAGGAGACTTCAAGAACAGGTAACGTGATTTATTTATCAAAGGCTGTTTTAAAAGTTGTCCATAACTATGCGTCTCATAAATAAGTAAGGTGGATTCAGATTTATAGAACGGCCAGGGAAAGTTTGCATTCGCCTTATTGGCAGCTCTTTTATTGATTTGGGTGAAATATCCAGGCTGCGGTAACGAAATCAATAGCATGAATGGAAGATTCGACTTTTTTTTTGGTCACGTAAAATTGTGAAGCGCTTCCTTCAAAGTTACGAAGAACCTTGCTTGTTCAGCCATGAACTGTTAGAATTTCCTCCTCATTTTCAGGATCTTTTTTTCTCATCGCTGTAGGATATGGAATACTGTAATTAAGGAAGTAATTCTGCTTTTACATTCACTTTTCTTTCAAGTAGTGATCAGCTGCAATTAAACCGAGTACTTTTTAGACACAATTTGCTGCAAAAGTGCCATGAAAAGGTGAAACACAAACTCATTCATGCAAAGGTGTTAGGAAGCGTGTGGTTGTTTCAGTCTTTAATAAATAAAGAAACTCGAAATAAACACAGTTTGTGGGTATGGTTGGAAGAAAAATGGAGCAATTTTTAATTAACTTCAATGAAAGTTTCATTTTGGTTTGCGTCCATGAATATTTTAAATACTATTCGCTTTCGAGTAGATTTCACGAAAATATATTACTATACATATTTAAATGTTTGTGGGTAATGTAGTCTAATGTAATTACTGGTACTGAAGGCAATATCTTCTCCTAGAGGGAGAAAAAACCTCAGTCTGCAGAGGTTGTTAAATTAAATATTCACATCCTGTGCTTTTACATGTGTAAATATTTACCGGTGTTCTAATACTGAATTTATGAGATATGGAAATTATTGCTCGTTAGGAGACAGTCCATCCCTGATAAGGGAGGAAAATAAGTCAATTTGAAGGTAATATCTGGCGAATAAAGTTAAGAGGGCTGATCATGTTTAACTTATCGCCTCAAATATCATAATAATGGTTTATTTTGCGGGCCATAAAAGCCACATTCATCAAATATTTATCCAGGGGAGTGTTATCACTATTCTACGTATTCATCGGCAGGCAATAACTGCGTGAAATCTACGTGCATTCTTGATTATGAATTTGAAATAATCTGTTATCTCTTCATGTGTCATGTCACAAGACAGAAGGGTGGCCGAGTGTAATCATTTCATAAATTAAAAGCTTTGAATCACGCAGGATTTTACAAAGGCAAGAGAGACAAAAATTTATGCTCGCTCATGCCCGCGGGGATGGCTTAATCGTAGTTTCCTCAATCCAAGTGTCAAATCGGTCGATAAATTACTATGCGGGTGTTTGAAGGAGTTTTTCATTTCAAGTAGAAGCGTGCTGTTCTGAAGACGAAATACGCAAAAAGAAAATTCCACTTTAAGGTACTGTTATCACTTTGTTACTTGAATTCTTTCGATTTGATTCGCTGCTACAGGGTTGAATTCGTGGTTTTCCGAGTATTTGTGGTGATTACTCGTGTAAAATGCTATTAATTTCGAAGACTACTCGAAAACATTCGGCGCACTACAGAATCTTGAACAACGGAAATTGGATTCCATTCCATATATGTTCACCGCAATCAAAATGTACATGCAATCGAATCACAATTTTAAAAACTAGACCGTTATTTTTTTTTCGAAGGGAATGACAGATGTACAAAAAAATCCTGACTTAGGTTAGCGAAAACAGTTGTGCATGGTTATCGCCATTTTTTGGAGTGCACGGCAATTTGGAGAATAATGTTTTCAGTTTTTGGATATGAAACACGATGATGACTGCTCACGGTTTAATACATGAGCAGAATTTTCATCAAGATAAGACAATTTTTCACGGACTTTGATTTTCTTTTGTTTCAAGCGACTAATCAAAGTT